CTCTCAAACTGAAACTTACACGTTTGCCTTCCAGTGGAGATAGCCGGATGACGTCACGTCTTAATGAAGTAACTAGCCTAATGAGTAAAACGTCTATTTTCCTGCGTCCCCCAGCTCCTTGTTTTGTTTTAGTGTACCTTTTTCTAAAACGATGAGCTGGGGGAAGCAGGAAAAATAGACGTTTTACTCATTAGGCTACTTCATTAAAAACGTGATCTAGACGGGGTTTTTTTTCGGCGTGGATCAAGGCAAATGAATCCCTTTCACCTTGAAAATAATAAATGTTTTTTCATTTTAAATAATAGAACATTTCTCAGTGATCGTCAATATAACAAAATTCCATTTTTCTCGGGTCGTTATGGCAGAATAGGTCAACATCCGGGTATCTCTCCACTGGAACGTGTTAACGCAAACGTGTAAGTTGTTTGAGGGGGTTAAACTGTGACATCGTTTTCCAAAGTGGACCAACGTGATTATTTAACGTCTTGTCGTGATACCGTGAGTTTTTTTTTTTTTTTCTAATGCTATTAGATACTATTATTTTAGAAAACCGACACATTTCCAAATGGCGACACATCAAGCTTCCGACACGTCACAGTGAGTAAAAAAGCATACAATACAGGCTATTTAAAACACCCATAAAAGTAGGCCTACATAACCACAGATGTGCTTTATTGTCCAGCAAAAAATAAACAAAAATAATATTAGACTATAATAAAACAAAGAGGTGTTGAAAATTTGGACTTTGTTTTTGTAGCCTGAGGTAAGGCCTTTTTAAAATTCCGGAAACCGCCACAAGAGGAAGCCATTTCTCCAGGAATGGGGCAAATCGCTTAACTCGTCTCACACAAGAAAGGGAGAGCAAAACAACTCATTCTGGTCCCTCTCAACCTTGACGAACAAGATTTTTTTTTTTTGGACAATCAAGCATCATATAACTCCAATAGCATATCGTCATTGGAAAGTGCAACACTTTATATTTATGCGACGTTGCGGCTGGAACAACAAAATACAAAAGCTGATAATCTCAGGTAGGTTACTAATTTATGTGCTTTATAATTTAACGTGAGTTTGAATATTGTTTTGTATGAAATGCCTAGTGTAGCCTAGGCTAATGTAAATAAATTAGTCTAACGTTAAAGCAAAAGCGTGACTATTCAATGTGACCACACAAGTATTACAATCTGTAATAAGTAATGTTTCAATCTCTCAGTACTTTAAATAATGTTAAAATTGCTTGTTTTTTAATGAAAAACGGAGTGCAGAGCGAGCTATCCGCACTTCTGATTAACTTGATAATGATTTTTGATTGATTTTGTCGATTTTGTTCACTGATAGACCTACTAATCTCTGTGTAAAAATAAAATGATGATGTTCTAAAGTATTTTTTTACCCCCCTGTAATCTGACTCCAAATTTTATGTACAAATTTTCATTCCGAGCTCGACAAAACAGTACATTTCTCAGTAGGCTAATTCATCCCATTTGGCTTTCTTCATTTATGTTTCTTTCTTCAGATTTGTTTATGTTTCTTCTTTTTTTTTTTTTTTAGCAAAATCAAAAAAAATTAAAGCCGGGAAAGTTTCTGAAATTTGTTTGATTTTGACACTGAATTACCCAAATGTGTTTTTATGTCTGAGAAGAACCTACACCTTTTATACAGCAAATACTGAAATTAGATGCACTGTGTACTTTTTGAGTGTACCTTATTGTGTCCCTTATAATTATTTTCATATAAAAAAATAAATAAACATGATTGTCCCTTATATTCATTTCCAGAAGTTGGCAACCGCTAGGTACAAATTACATTTTTGTTAAAAAATCGAATAGAAAAACTTTTTATGTGGCCGGACATTTACGCAAACGGCTATAACTCGTCATTTTTAGCATAACAAAGTGCACAGCCCCACCTAAGATATTTTTCACCAATCACTACTGATCTGATAATAATCCTTTAAAAAAAAAATCAATAACCAAGCATGATCTATTTCAGTCATGACATTATTATATTTTTTTACTTAACAACTAAACTGTTTATGTTTGAGTGAGATGTCACTGAAAGAAGTGAACAAAGCTCTCATGATCCATGAGGCTTTTTGAACTTTCAATAAGAGATTAGACAAGAGCCATTGATAAGTGATTAAGCAGCAGACGGGATATGGCTGGAGGGTGTTAGTCAAAGGTAGACCCTCTGGCCCCTGAGGTTAGTGCACATTGTTGAAGGTCATGGTAGTCTTTGAGGATGAATGTGGGACAATGGGTCTTTCAGAGTCAGGAGACCAGAGACGACATGAGTCAACAGACCACCATCACTTCTGACAAACTCTTTGTCCTAATGACACTCTGAGATCCCCAATTTAAGAAAAGACAGGGTTAAAACTGCACTGCACTCATTAAATTGATTGTTGTATATTCAATTAGTCACCTGAAATGGTAGTCAAGTCAATAATGTTGAACTGGACGAGCTTATTTCAGACAATAGAGCAGCACAGAAGGGGCCGTCCTAAAATTAATTCTCTACATACTTTTTCACAGATCTGCAGCTATCAGACAGACTGAGCTGACTGTACTGCAAGACTGCTGTTTCTATCCAGTGATACAGTTTTAAAAAGAAATGGAGCCTTGCTATGCTAAATTAATTGGACAACATAGATACAATTGACCAGCACCTGAACTGCCAACTTCAGAAAAAAGGTAAGATTGTTTCTGTTCTCAATTTACAGAATATTGTAAATTCGATTTAAAGAGCATTTTAAAGGGATAGCTCACCCAAAAATGAAGATTTTGTCATTACTTATTCTCCCTCAAGTTGTTCAAAACCTGAATGAGTTTCTTTCTTCTACTGAACACAAAAGAAGATATTTGGAAGAATCTCGGTAAACCAGACAGTTGACGGCACCCATTGACTTCAATAATATTTCTGTTTTCCTTAGGAAGGCATTTTCCTGAATCAACATATTTTATTGACCCTGGAACAACATTCCTGTCCGAAAATGTAGTCCTAACCCTATCCCTTAACCTAACCCTACCCATAACTTATCTCTAAAATCAACACTGATGTAGAAGCACCTGGTTGCAAGCCTAAACTTGACATAAATAGTAAACTTGTCTCTTATATCTTATTGATTGTTTGGAATGTTGTCCCAGGGTCAACAAAGACGTTGTACTTGGTGAAATCCCATTTACCTATTCCCACTTGTGAAAATAATAATTATTTTAAAAAATAATAAACCTTTGTAGAGTATGTTTCCTTAAATACAGGTGAAGTTACTGCAATAAAAGAAAAAGTTGTAAGTACTAAGTCAGACATTCAGAAATGCATGTATTTTCCACTTCAGCATTTCACTTAAATTATGCTTATTTGTGAAGAAAGACTTTTGGACCTTGCTGTTCATATCGGGCTAACGTAACTTCTCACTAGATTAAATGAATCTGGTTTGAGAAGCGCCTTTGCGCCCTCTCTGAGGGACTATCCTTGAAAATGGAAAGATTTCTTTTTGACTATATGTGATTAGCATTAAATCCCACTGCAGATCTTCATAGATTTGTCAAATCACAAACATGTCATCATGATAGTTTGAAAGGCCCGTCTTCTCTCATCAGATTTGTTCTTTGCAATTTAACCCAAGACAGCTCTTACTGTACATCTGCTCAGTATTATTCATTTATATGATTGCTAACCAAGATCGTATGTGGATTAAATATCCCAAAACATATTGACCGCCCAGGACAGGACCATCCTAAATGCATACCATCAAAACAAAGAGAAACCAAAATTATAAAATATATATTTTTTAATGATTATAAAAGAAAATTATGAATGTTGTATGTCATTCTCATTGTATTTCGTGTTAACTTACCATATAGACTATAGATGGACTAGAATGAAAATATCCCATATAGCAGCAAGACCAAAAAATATTTATTAATCTGGAAATTCAAATGCAATCTGAGCTATCATCAGCTTGATTTACGTATTACATTAATGCTGCAGTGGACAGTGGTCAAAGGGTTTAGGGATGTTGCCTATTTTATATGTGTGACTGTGAATATTCGTGTACTCCAGAGACGAATGCACCACAGGCTACTCGGCCGATAATTTTTTTTTACAATTTTCTCCTAAATAGTTACATTTACCCCGGGTTTAACCTCTTCTGTTGAAGACACCATTCGAGGAGAGGGAATGATCACATGGAAACTGTTTAATGTCCATAAAATGGAAAATGGGAAGTTGAATCAACGTGAATCAGTTGCAGTTGCACAGAATTTGTTGCCCACGCTTGTTATAAACCATATGGTTCAAAATAGCTTTCTGTGATTCACAGAGATGCCTTTTAAGGGATAGATCAGACAGAAATGATACTTACTTAGTGAATGATATACTTACTCAGTAAATACTTGAAAAGAGTCAATGACAAAATTTTCGCTTTTGGGTGAACAACACCAAAATTCTCTTGAAGCTTTTAACATTCGATTGCTTCTGTGAGAGATATCGTTATAATAAATTTGATCCCTGATGCTCAACCTCATGTCTATAGTATATGTTTTTTTCTGTATGTAAAATGACCACCAGTAAGATGGCTGTGTAAAATGTGTATGCTCTTTCTGCTTTTTATTATGGTTTAACCGTCTTAACCTAAACTTAATTAAATGTCAAATCTGAACAAATTAAACTTTTAACTGTCTGGCGGTTAACAAACAGAACTGCATGCATCTTGCAGAAGAACTTCTCTCTGTTTATGTCTATGATGAGTCACGCAGATATTGAGCTACTCCGCAGCGGTACGACTTGAACCAGTCTAAAATAGTCCCAATATAAACACTTATTATAGATGTACCGTTGTGATTCAGGATAAAACAAAAACACGGTTTAGAAAAAGAATTCATGATGTACTCGCTCATTACATATTATAAGTAAAAAGTTACAGACTGCAGCTTTAAGCAAAGCATTACATATCTAATGTGCAAATGCCTTTCCACTGAAAATACGGTGCAAATGACAACTTTATAAATGCAATTATTTATTCAAATGGTAGAAAAGTGTTCAAATAAGTAAATACAAAATATTTCAACCTGAGTATAAGAGCAAAGTAAATACAGTGTATCTAAAAGGAGCTAAAACTGTATGTTTATAATATCAAAACAAAAAGGCTCCATCTCCCAAAGTCACAATATCCATTATATAAACAGACACAAAGCGCTCAAAAGCAACAGTTTCTACCTATTAAATAATAATGAAAAAAAAAATGCACTAAATGATAGAATACTGAACTAAATACACATTTGTATGATGTACACATGAACAGAACCACAAATGTTTCTGGAATTGCTGCATACATCAATTTCATTCTCCATGCAGATAAACCTTAAATTTCAGGACCATGTGACATTATGTCCACCTTCATGGGTGTCACCTGAAGTGCTGATGTGGACATTAACATAGTCAGTTTTTAAAGAGGGGGACATCATGACAACAAAATATGAACGAATGAAAATGTATTGTACAAGTGTCCTGAGTAATTAATTGTCTTGAGTTAAAGAACAATAGAAGACATCTTCAGTAACAGTTAGAACTAAAAGTTTGTGCTTTAAAAATTTGTGCCTTTTTATAGACCACAGCAAAACCATTTTTGGTTTATTTTTTTCCCCTGTTACTTACTGAAACAGTAGTACATTTTGAAACATATTTCAATGTGTAATCCAATTCCAATGTCAAAGAAAAAACAAAGAATGAAGATCTGTCCAGTTACATAAACACTACGCCAAATAGTGAACAATGACGTTTGATTCACCGGCACCAAAACCCTTCATATTCAATGCCCAAAGCATAAAGTCAAATACATCTTCAACAGACATAAACAGTAAAAAATTGTGGAAAGTGAACATTTGTATGTGCGCGTAGACAGTACCGGACACGACACATTAACACAGTGTAATCCTTTGGGATTCAGCTTTCTCCACCATTGTCTGCAAACGCAGAGCATCATATCACTGAGGTACTGAGTACTGAATTTCTTTCTAGTTGAGAGCCATTGTGAACATCCTTGGTTGCTCACAAAGTTAGGCGGTTTTGAAAAGTCAATCTGGTGGTTCATTTTTGCCACAAAAAAGGAAATATTTGGCAGGTCAGTCCCCCCCCCCCAATGTTTAAACCACAGGTGAAGTAGGTCAACATGGACCTCACGGGTAATAAATATCCATGAATCTTGACTGAAGTCTCTAGTGTCAAGTGGACATGCGTTATCCTCCGTTGCCCTCTAGTGTTTTTGCTTGGAATGTTCCAGCCACTATTTCACCAGTTTGAGTCTCTCAATGTGATGGCAAAGTTTGAGCGCAGGACCCAGTTTCAACCCCATGTACTTCATGATCATGTCACTCCGTAAAAGCATCAAGGCCTTGCCATCAATTTCCTGTGGAAAACAATCAATCCATTATAACATCTATAAAACAAACCTTGAAAGTAGTACAAAACATGAAATTCGTCAAGAAAATCATATCTTACATGTTTCCTGAAGAGCTCTGCATGTGGGCCCAGCGCCTGTGGATCGGCGTCACGCACAAATTGCATCACTTCCTCTATACTCCATGATGACGGACACTTATTAGACGTTCTAGAGGAATCCTTTTCCGCTGCTTGATGATCAGGACCAGTGGTTGAGCTAGCAGCTAGCAAACAAATATAATATATATATATATATATATATAATAAATATGGTCACTCCAAAAAAGGTCTTTACTTGCACATATGGATTTTTTTGAATGATGAAATAATGGCCACTAGGGGCACCAAAAAATATATGCATGACAAAATGGGTAACGATTTATAATAAGGGTACATGATTAATATCAGAATTAATACTTCAACATGAACTAATGAGGTTTATAACAAAACTGCATGTTATATTATTTCAATATTATTCACATATGGAAGAAACAATTAGAATAGTATGACAGCTTCAAATATAGCCCACGACTGAAAATATGTCATGTTAGAGGTAAAAAAAAAAAAAAACACACACACTTTTTTTTGGGAAACTGAACATTATGCTTTACTGAATGGGAGTGCTGGTCTAGAATCAGTGCTTCCTTGACGGTCCTGCTCTGTCGCTTAAAAAATACTGAACCCCAAACATCGCTCCTACTCTGAGACGCAATTTAAATAAATATGGCCCCCCGAGCCGCTAACAGGCTTTAATCCATATCAAAGCCTATTGTGCCACTTGACATTTGATTAGAGAAAATACATCTGGTCCTCACACAAGCACTCTGTGCGGAACTGATATGGGAGTTTATCCCACGATAGAAATAGATCCAAGTCTCTGAAGAGCAGCGGTGATCGCGTAAGCCAAGCTGCCAGTCTGAAAGCATTCTGAGGGAGTTGAACAATGAAACGGTTCTGCTTTTAAGGCTCAAACGCAAGACTAATGCCAACAAGCACAGGCACGAACAGCTCAAGGCTTTCAATCATTCAACTCAACTTTATCATTAATAAATAAAAAACATGTAAGCTTGTATACAGATTTAATTTCTAACTGCATGAAAAAAATCGGTTAATGTAAATGTCACCATGATATCAAAATTGACTATTCTTATTTTTATGGAAAATTGCAGTTGTCAAATGATTTATCTCTGCACATTTTTAAAAAAAATTGTAGCTCCTTCCTCTCCCTCCTGCAAGACATGTCTTCTCTGATGATGCGTTTACTGGCATGAGGGCGGGACAAGCTGTCAATCACGAGACTAACCATCCAATCAATTCCTGATGAGCAAAATCAAGTCCCGCTCTACATATTCCCTTGTTGAAGTCATTGACTCATTTCACTCACATACAAGGAATGAAAGCCTATCGCAACTTCCGTTTCATGCCAACTTGGTATATAAATTAAAGTTTATAAATAAAAGCTAAACCCATTATGAATGTTAGAAATGTATTGCTAAAACATATTAGGACTATATTATACATATTAGGACTGTAAATATTGTAAGACTGTAAATTGTGAAGTACTGAATTGTGGAGTTAGACCGTTAAACAGTTTTTCACCATTGCTATTTTACGGATTTTTTTTGGGCGGGGCTAAAACGGGGCTCGATGACGCACTGGAGCCCCTGAGCTCGTGGACACGCCCCTACTTGATGCACTGAGGCTGACCCCTCCCCTAACGTTCGCATCAGTTTGCCGCTCAATAGCGAGTTACTGTCAGTTGGCTACTATTAGTTACTACGACAACCTACAGTTTTCTAGCTAGCTATGCCTTCGACACGGAAATGCGTAGGCTACTAACTGGATGCGATCAGATCGGTGTCTTTATTTCCTATATATTTATAGGAAATATATATTTCCTAAAAACGATCACATCAAGAAGAGTTGGATTAATTTTGTGAAGAGCCAACCTTGATGGAGAGCTGAGGATTACCGCTAACACCCGCCTCTGTAGTGATCATTTTACATGGGATAGTTTTATAAACTTTCGTCAGAGACAACTGGGATTCACTGATAATCCGTCAGCTAATATCACCGTCGGCAGCTTTCCCGCGAGTGGGCGTGGTTTCAGCGCAGCCAGCAGACACGCCCCCAGCTTTTGAGAGCAGAGAATAATGCTAATTTTTTCAATATTTTGATAGCTTATTTTATGTACTTGCTGGCTTTTTTTATCATTCAAATTTGGCTGGGTGGCTAATAACACATTTTTCTGTGGTGTGACAAACTCAGAACACATACTTAATTTTGACTTTAGGGACTTTAATAACTGCAAAATGATCTGTTTAGAATGATCTATTTTATATATATATGTTTATTATGAAACAGTGAGTACAAAGTGTTAACTATAAATCTGAGTGCACTAGGGCTTTTAAAATAAATAAGTATGAACAAGTCTGGTCATTTACAAGCAATCTTACATGTTATTAATAGTGTGTGTGTGAAGGTGTTTAAACAAAGCGTTCTTACATAGCCTACCTTCCACTCGTCTGTGTGTGCGTGCGGGCCCCAGCTCCGAGGGGTTGGAGGAGAGTCTGCGGAGGGGTGGGGGGTGAGAGGGGTAGTGCGGGCTGCTTCCGGCCGGGGGGTGGTACTCAGACGGGCTGCGTAAGGCAGGGGGCCGGGGGGCCACAGAATTGGAGGCCGAGTCCATTGACTCTTCTGAGAACTGCTGGTCTGTAGTGGCACCATTTTCAGCATGGGCAATGGTTTCTGTCACAAAGAAGAGTGAAACGTTTTCATTAATACCCAAGGTCATTATTTAGTAATATATGGTTTGAAATAAATGCATGTATACACTATCGCTCAAAAGTTTGGGGTCGTTAATTTAATCGTTTATAACTTATGCCCACTATAGCTACATATATTTGATCAAACACAGTTGAAATATTGTTAGCAAATACTTTTGGCATCATTACTCCAGTCTTCAGTGTCACATAATCCTTGAGAAATCATTCTAATATGCTAATTTGGTGCGCAAGAAACATTTATTTTTTATGATCAAATATTGAAAAGTCAGAACCCATAAAAAGCATTTTTTTCAGGATTCTTCGATGAATAGAAAGTTCAAAAGAACTGCATTTATTTGGAACATGTTGTAATAATGTAAAAGGCTCAATTTAAAGCATCCTTGCTAAATTAAATTATTAATATCTATCAAAACAAAAATCTTACTGACCCCCCAACCCCAAAATACAAATACACATGGGTAGTTTGAACAATGAATTTGTTTCTCATGATCTTTTACATAATTGAATGGATAAATATACCATTTAAAAAGCATCTCAGGATGAACTTGAAGCTGTGGCTACTTGTCACTCCTTTCATAAAGCTGAAATATAACATTTCGCCACTACATAAATGCTATACTCACATTTAATAGTTTTTCTGACATTAAAATGTGGAAAGTAGTCATAATAAAGACTAGTTGTCACAATTACAAGGTTATAGAAGGTTTAAATAGCCTTTTCGGCTAATTCTGGCACATTTACATTTATGTTTATTAATGTGCATCGCCCCTGTAAATAAATAAACTAAAAAAAAAATGTAAAAAAACTTGCATGCTCAAGACTATAAGTCTACACACCTTCAGTATTTATCTGACACAAACTCGCCAAAATAAAAGTAGTGCAGGACTCCTATGTTCTGCATGAATAGAAATCTGACGCAACAAGTAGCAACATGTCTCGGAGTTTATAATTGTCCTCGAACACACGTGCTGCGAACACTACAAACAATTTTTGAAAAAATTAACTGTACCTTCAGTTTGTGGCAATGAGCGTTATCTACGAGACATTTAATGAGAGCAGAACACACAACACCCACGTCTGATAAATTATAAAATCACCCACAGCAGTAAAAATAACCCAAACTGGCAGGTTATTCTCACCCTAATGAAAATCAGACACTTAATTAGTTACAATGTAGACGATTTAATTAGGAGTCTGTCTGCATTATTAATTGTTTTATTTTGTGCGGTTAATAAGAAAATGAACAGAGGCGTTTAACTCCACATAAAGAGAACCGCTTCCTCCATTCACTTTAAGTTCGACCAATCAGAACTGGTTCTGCTGCAGCTAGTGTGGCATAAACACTCAATCGTTATCATTCACGAACAAACAAAAACACTCGGAACGGCTGAATCGTACCGTCTGATGGCAGAGCTTCTGTTCTCTGTAGTTTCGGTGACAAGGCAGCGGTGTAGGCAGCCGAATCTCGGTTGAAGCGTCTGGTACCTCGCGCTACGGACAAAGCTTCTGATGTCTCCTCTTTCACTGCAACAGAGAGAGTGCAAATATAGATCACTTCTGGAAGTCCACAGGATTTAAAAATCACAAGCTAGATCTAGTTTTAAAACCCCTATTATGTTTTTTTTTTTTAATATTATCTTTCATGCAGTGTGTAATATAGCTGTTGGTGAGTGTACAAGGTGTGCAAGTGCAAAGAAAATATAGTTGTCTCCTAAAAGAAAGAATCGATTCTGAAATGAATTGTCTTCATTGGCTGCCCACGAACAATGTCTACATTGACCCGCCCTGAGGCCTCAGAGTTTGGTTCGTGGTGTTGAGATGTTGCAAGACACTGCTTTCTATGCTGCGAATACATTTTGCAAGCACTTCCAAAGGATGAGGACTCGCTCTGGAAATGATACGGCAAAACCAATGCCATTGTTACAAATTCAAATATGGTAATGGCCGTTTGGTTTCTGACACATGCTGTAACTAAGCGGTAGACCAATCACAACAGACTGGGCCATTGATATTTTTTGACATTGACTGCATGTAAACCTATTGTAGGAGTCCTCCAAAACAAAATTAGGAATGTTCAAAATAGCGTAATAGGGGCGCTAAGTTTTTCCATTTAAAATAATTGTAATTAATTTCTCCATAGTTTTAGTTCAGTCAACAATAACACGCACACATACCTGATTTGCTCCTTTCATACGGTGTGTGTGTGTTAGTGGTTAGTGGACTGAATGGCTGGCTGCTGAACAGGTTATCACACTGCAGATGGTGACACAGAGTTTCCAGAAAGCGCAGAACGAACGAAGCACTCGAGGCAGTGGGGAGCTTGACGTAGTGGATTCCTCCTTCAGATCGAACTGAATGAAAGTAGATATGGCGCAAAATTAAAAAAACACGGTATAACTCTTAAACATATTACACAGAATCCATGTAGAATTTAATATGCTTCTCATGAATACATCACTTGTGCTATATATATAAAAAAAAAATCTAGTCCCTACCCTCCAAATGCTGTTTGGCTGTTTGTGTGTGTAGGGGGGGTCTGGCTAAATGGGTGCCGATTAAGGGGCCATGGCGTCGCAGCAGATGGCTCTACAGCCTTAGCGTGGGCCCCACCCCCTGCACGCACACACACACACACACTTCCCCAGGGGACACCCCAATCAAATGATCCAAACCAGGTTACACTCAGATGTCATCCCTTATTACTCGCAGTCTGATGACATCAGTTGTGCACACACACACACACTTCTTTTTAAACATTGACACACACCCTTCTCTTTTCAGGTCAATCACACACCCATGCTTTTACTTTTTACTCTTTATTGTAAAGCACACACATGTCGACAGTCTTAAAGCAACACTCAACTATACGAACTGAACTCTATCAGAGCTTAAGTCTTACATCAATATGCCATTCAGCTCTCAAAACACATTTGATTAATGATGGCTCTTCCAGTTCGGGCACTTTTGACTCCCTCAGGACAAAAAAAAAATTAACTATGTTTCATCTTTTTTAAAACATGCATCACATGTCATGGCCACGTCAATTTATAAATTTATATATAAATATATATGTCATTACTGTATTAGTTAAATGTCATTAACAAGACAATAAAGGTTTAAGCTATTATGATGCATTCTTAAATACTAATATGATTTCTAAAGCATAAAAAAAAGCAAAACTGGCAGCCAAGTTCCCCTTATCACAGAATCCCCATTCAAACGCAAATCACACAAACTCTAAAGCAGATCCAAACTAACCTCTGATGATTTCCCCGCCATCAGACTGAGACTGCAGGAAGCCAAACAGAGCTTTGGGTTGAAATGCACAATCCACGCAGGCTTGGACCGAGTGCTGGAGAACCGTGTTCACGGGGCCCGGCCCGAAATGATCGGGTAGCTGCAACAACAGCTTACGGTCCAAGTGCGGCCCCGAATCTCCGTGTTTATTCACGTACACGCAAACTAGAAGAGGTGAGAGTGGATGGTCAGGTGAAGCATCAGAAGTGCATGGTAGAAAGTTGAGATGCACTTAAGATGTTACTTCAACCTGATGAACCACATTTCTGTGTGAAGTGTCAGTTATTGTTTGAGGTTTGCTTCAGGCCAAAATATTCTTTTAGTTTTGTAAATAAATTCATACATCACCACAACTTGGATTTGCTTTTATAGTACGTTACAAGATTGAAATACAGTAAGATAAAAGCTTACCTGTGGACAAGACTCCTGAGTCTCTTGTTGTCTGTAGACTAGACAGTCTCCCATCTGATACTGAGGAAGACAATGTGGGGCTTGAAAGTGAATGAGGAACCTTTGGTTTCCTCTGTAAAGGTGGAAGACAAGAGAGCGAGAGATAAAAAAAAACCCAACCAATACACCTTCACAAAACAACCCCACTATCGTTTGCCCTTCTAAATCTCAAAACAATGGCAGAAGGCTACAAAAGCCTTATCAGATTGAGAATCCAGCATGTTTAATGTACCGTTCATGGGGAAGGATTATAGAAGAAGCGTTTAATTTAGATAAACGCACATGCTCAAATCAGGGCAATTTTTTTTTTTTTTGTTCCCTCTTAAATACCATTAAAATCCCATAATATCTCATTTTGTGTTCCTCAGTAAAATGAAAATCATACAGGTTTGAGTGAAAGTTAACCGTTATTTTAATAGTATTTATATATAGCATTTTAAATGAGCTTTTACTTTTATAATTTCAGTTTGCATTGTTATGCGCTTAAAAATATATTTTATTTAAAAATATTGTATTTATCTTTAATTTATTCCGTTTCAGTTTCGCTTTAATGTTTAAGTTGTTAATCATCTAGTATTTATATTGTATTCTATTTCAGCATTATCCAAATTAACAAACAATTATTTATATATAATATATATATATATATATATATATATATATATATATATTACGGAGATAATATATATATATTATATATTAATATATATTACTACTGCTGCTAATATATATATATATATATATATATATATATATATATATATATAAATGAACAGCTATATATACAAATGAACAGCTTATTACAATATTCATCTCTGGGTGGACATTCCCTTTAAGGATTTAACTGTAAATATCACCTAAATAAATATGCAATTAACTAAAAACCTATTAAGCGACCCATCCGACCACAAAAAAAAGCAATTGTACCTTGCTGCCGGGTTTGGGTCCCCTCTTTTTATATGGTTTGGGTGTGAGCTGTGAGCCCATGGGACTCTTGGCTGTATTGGACTGTGTTTGGCCGTTCTGTGACGTGGCGGCTGCGGCTGCTGCAGCCTCGGCAGCTTCTTTCAGCATTGCGATGGTCTGGCTCTTGGGCCTCCTCCCTCGTACCCCCTTGCGCACTGGCAGAGGGGGCAGAGGGTGTGGCAGGCGGTACGGGGACTGCATTGGGCGCCAAGAATGACTGGACTTGCCCAATGCTGGAACAGGAGTCTTCGGGAGATTGACTAAAGATAGGGGAGAAACAAAAATGAAAGGTTATAATACTATGCAATTTCAAAAATGTTAAAATCAAATATTATGCTAATTAAAAATATATTTGATGATTACATTAGAGCACTTTTGGACATAATAAAAAAAAATCCATGAAAGTGCTTTTTTGGGTATAATATAAAATACTATGCATCATATTATGAATATGGCCATCGATCATACTGAAAGTAATACAATACCATCACTGTACCATAGACCCACCACCATAGTATGTTTTTGTAAGAGAAAGCATTTTGAACATGGTTATGGTTACTAAAACCAATGTTTTACATTAGTGCATTAAACCCTATTGCCACATGTGCAATATCCGCAAGGTAAATGAGAAGATAATGACATTCTACATGAAATGATTAGCTATTACTGGAATAATTTCACCCGTCTGTCTCACAAAGCATACCAATATGCAATGAATACATAAATAAGACTCGCCCAACACAAACACAGAATAAAAAAAGAAAAAAAAGTCACTTCTTCTGCATTTTGAATGAGAGCAACAAACTTCAATCTTTTCCTTTTGAATTTGACTGCTTCTTCGTACAGCTGAAATCGCTTCCTCAGAGGCCATTTTGCATATTAGATACAAGCAGCACAAAAATTAAGTTGTCTCTCTAGAGATCCTTTTTAAGACGGAGTGAGGAGAGAGAGTTTCAGCTGGCCATTGTGCCCTACAGGAGGCATGGGCTTTTCAGCACCCTATTGTTTTGTGGGCCTCCCCCCATTGGCTTTCTGGTCAAAGGCCTCTTTTCTGTGGCCAACAGGTAATCCTCGTTATAGAGAGAAAGAATAACCCCCTTCTCCACCTGGATGAGTGTGTGTTATCGGTTATCACGTTGTGGGACAAGATGTGACGAGTGTGTAAGGGCTATGGAAGGAGTTCACAGCTAGAACTGCATCTTTGCATTTTTTTTCCCAGTCAATTTAATCTTGCATAGAGCACCAAACAAATCTATGAATATTTCTTAGCAGTTCTTGGCAAGTTAATGTATTATTCATTTTGTTGCTGGTTCAAAATGCAGTGCTGCCTGACTTTATAGTCTCATTTAAAAGAGAACCTTTTCCTTTGAAGCAACCTACTAGAAATTATTTTTTAAGTGTTAAAAAGGGCATCTGTAACGCTCTGACCAAAAAATCTGTCCTTAAATAAACAATGTGATTTGCCAAAAAGATGTACAAAATGACACCACCACGACCAAAAAAAAGACAATAGACAGTGTTCTGTTCATTTTAAATTCATCAAATGCATCCATGCGAGTTTGCTGATAAAAGACCTTGCAAACTAAATAACATTAATGTCTGCAAATTCTTTTCAGTCTCCTCAAAATCCCACAATTATTATCTGCAGTTCAGCATAAACAAATTAATCAAAGAAGGTGTAAAAGTCAACGCTATTGAAGTGCCAAACAACATCGGAGTGAAATCCCCCAACTCATACACACCTCCTTCAGACCAACGCCACCAAAACCCCCCTCTTATAGCTTCTGTATGGGCCATCTCTAAGATCAGATAAACTTCTCCTATTACAGGGCGGCTGACGGGCGGTCAGCAGAAGCCGGCTTTGCTAAGTACATCTGGGAGCTTTCACAGAGTCCTACGTGCAGCTGCTCTCCTGGGCCTCGAGAGGGAAACCAAGCTGGAGCCATGCAGACGTTTAATGAGGAGACGAGAGAACGCGTGCGAGGAATGGGCAAGTGTTTTCTTTCATTCGAAGGTCAGAAAGTGTTCGATTCTCATTCAAATATCCTATGAATATAAGTTGGCACGTGAGGAATCAAGCTTATTAAGCGCACATATGCACAATGGGCATGCAAAACAGACGCAAACGCTATCAGAAGCTCGGTCACGGACGACGTAAAAGTAAACTCTACCCATAATCACCCCAAAATGAAGCGAACCAGCTGATCACAAAAATGACCTCTCTATGGTCTGTGACCCAGTGACCTCCAAGTTGACTCCCAGTGCACAGACACACACACTTCTGGGCGTCTGGTCATACATAGGAGAGGTTGCAAACAAAGGTGACCGGGCGAAACCAGTGTAATTACTCCATCTCTTCCACAATATTTACATTTCGCCCCACACCAGACCCGAACGCCCGGGCAATCTGTCTACGGTTGACGACGGCTTCAGCTCAGCGGGAACTAGAACCACATGTTGTGGGGGAGTAACGTTAACGCCGAAAAAGAGTGAGTGTGTGTGTCTGTGTGAATGGTAAAAGGGGATATAGGGTTCCCTGAGCCCGAGGCAATTTAATGAAACAATGCAATCTGTTAAAGAGCTGAAGTCAAAACAAATACCGTGGTTCAACAAAAGCTTGAAAATATCCGTGCAGCTTCTGTGCAAAATAAATAAATTCTGAGCTTTTCCTTTGTAACTCTACTAGTCATTTCAAGTCAGCAGGATTTTATTTCCATTCTGCTGGAAGTTATAGCCTACTGTAGCTTATTGGTTATTGAATGAATCTACCTGATGCATGTCTATTATCTTGCTAAAACAAACAAAATGAAATTCGGCATAGCACAAAACAATCAGAAACGGTTTAGTAAAACTATCAATGATTGACGAACCTTCTTCTTAAAATGGGTTTTAAGGACTCTTTTGTTGGCAAGCCATTTATCATTAAAACTTATCCAGTTTATGTTACTTGTAGCCTACTTTTTATTACTAGTCAGTAGTCCAAGAGTGACTAGCATCTTAGTACTTAATTCAACAGTGATACGCATCTATTGAACTCGTCACTATTATTTACTGCATGCTAAATACTCATTCCCTCGCTGGTATATTGACAACTAACTATTTATTAGTTTCAACAATTCCATAGTGATCAGAGGTTCAGATAATAACAGACTAGCATTTCTTCCAATTGTTGCTGGTCTCTATTAAGTAATATTTTCCAGAACCACGTTGTAGCTTTCTGGCTAGTCTCTGCATACTGCAAAAAAATACAAGTAGTGCATACTAGCATTCAAAGAATAAATATGAATGACTTTACTACAGGAATAAGTACCTAATGAATAGTTACTAGTGAATTTGAAAAACACACTAGTCACTATTGCATTAGCCTACTTGTAACATATAAATAACGTTACTAGTAAAATAAAGATTGATTCTGGTTGGTTTAACGAAATAAATATGAAAACGGCTAACCATAGTCAGTGCTTTAGAGATCAATGAATGCTTTTCCACAAATAGAGAAATAAAAGTGCAGTGTTAGTCCACTACAGGAGGAAGAGAACTGGACGCAACAGGGGAAAAAACCGTTGCAAAAACACACTCAAATTAAACTCGTGTGACCTAAATGCACAAGCCACTAAAACAAAGCAACAGACATCAGAGACAAAAGCCTCGGAATACGCCAGAGGAACTCACCAAAACGACAACTTTCAACTATATCCCCGTTCTGCGCTAACGAATCCGGTGTAAATCTCCCCTTGGTTGAGAATGTCTGGTTTTAAAGCAATATAACAACCGGAGCTCGCGATTACTTTTGCTCCCGGTTTGAACAGAAGCGGCAGAAGCGCATGACAAAGCCCGTGCCGGTGGAGCCCTGATCGGGCAATATCTGATTAATATGGAGGCGGGGACGAGGAGTGGAGGAGGAGGAGGAGAAGAAGGAGGAGTGGAGGAGGAGGGGGGCGGGGTATTCGTGTTATCAGCCAGTGTTGACAGTCCTCAAATGGGCGCCAAATTACATTATTATTAAAATACAATAAAATGTTTAATTAAAGAAGAGCTCGTTTGTATTTTATTAAATAGAAAATATCATTAAATATCAATATAATTTATTTTGAGATAAAGATTTAGTCTACATTTTGATGTAACATTTCATAAATAATAATTACTTTTATTTTTATCGTTATTATTATTATTCAAAATTTAGATTAAAGAGTTAATCTGTTGATTTAACATTTATAAAAAAAATCTTTTTTAATAATAATAATAATTATTATTATTATTTTAAAAGTAATTATTTGTGAATGTTACATCAAAATGTAAACAATGTTAAAACTAAATCTTAATATTAATAACATTTACAATTATTATTATTTTCTTTGTCTATGTCTTTTTCTTTAAGATTTCGAATTTTTTGTCTATAAATAATAATAAAATTATTATAAATAATTATTACTTTTATTATTACTTCTACTTATATATGTCAATAATATTAATATTAATCGCATCCAAAATAAAAGTTTCTAGTTACATAATATATGTGGGTGCACTGTGTATAAATTATTTTGTACATGTATATCAGTCTATGATATATATATATATATATATATATATATATATATATATATAAAATATTTCTTAAATATATACAATCATGTGTGTGTATTTATATATATAAAATAATTAGTGCACCCACATATATATATATATATATATATATATATATATATATATAGTTGAAAGTTGACAACTTTCAACTATAATAATAATAATATTATTATACTGCTAATAATAATAATAATAATGATTTATAAAAACATTGCACATCACTGTCAAGTTTTTCAAAATGTTATTTATATAAATCTGGCACAATAGGGTTGCTGTTAACTCTGACAAACTATCACATTTACATTCAACATCCTATACTAATCAGTCTCCTGCCATTTCAAAGGCCTCCTCCCAGGCTTTTAGGGCTGAAGGGGGGTAACGGGTTAATGAAGATCAGATTCAGAGCGCCCAGTTTGAAGCACACAGGTCCAGAGAGACATGAATGATGCTCCTGCTGGAAGTATTTACGTGCTTTCTTACACGCCCGGCGGGTATAGTCTGGTACCCACACCTCAATCTGGGACCAGTCAAAATCCCAAACACCATTCAGAAGGATTATTAGATTATTACAAATTCACACACAGGCCTATAGAGCCAAACTGGATTTGTCTGCTTTGTCTCACACATTTATTTTAAATGCATTAAGCTACACAAGTGTGCGAGATGTGTGAAAGCACTAACACTTATTAAAAAAAATCCTGCCCTGTCGTTCTCACTTCAGGTGTGAGAACAGGAACAACGGTGAATACATACAGTACTAATAAACACCTCTAAAAATAACTTAAAATGAGCCATGAAGAAGATCATTTAGGCAAAGCGTGCCATCTAATCATAATGGGTTATTATTTAAGGCTCTGAAAAAAAGGCATTTTATAATTATTTTAAAAAAGCAGTCAAATATTTCCTAATTTATTACAAAGGAAATTATATCGTTATTTGAGAACATTTATAATTTAAGAAATTCAAAAAACACCAAATTTAGTGGGGAAGTTTTTTTTTTTTAAATCAATATTTTATCAAATTCTCATGAGATGGGAAAAGGATGAGATGTGACAGACAATTTTTCTGTCATTTTCTCTTAAAAAATGTTATAAATGCTTTCACGTAGCCAGAGGCTGAATTTTCGTATGAACGATCGTATAAAACTAACAAAACAAAAACCAGCACACTCCAGATATTCAAACCTCTTAGATTACAGGAAAACTGAGAACACTTTTCTTTTTAGGAGTAATTAAATTGAAAATGTTTGAATTTTTACAAGTAAATGCAAAAGATCTGAACCAAAAGCTAAACCTTTGTGTTGTGTCCAAAGCTTGCCTTTCCATTGTAGTAAGCACTTATTACTGTTGTTCTTTTCTACATTATTAATATATGCAAATCTGCGCACACACAATGGGCTCTGCGCCCCGAGGTAAACCCAGCAAGAAAAACTAGAAATACAGAAAAAAAAATAAACCATCCTTCAAACATCAACGGACACGTGTGTGTTTTTCAGTGTTCATTAGAAAGGTGGTATTCACTAATGATCAGTTAAAACTACTATGCAAGGCAAATGAAGACAAATCACACACAAAGGAAAAGATAAACTCGCAGTTCATGCTTTCATTCCTCCATTCAAAGCTTACGAAAATATCAACAGAATTTATTTGAAACATTTGCTTTTTCATATTTATATGTAAAATGAGCCAATGGTCTAACCAAATTTAGCACTCATTATTACCATTAAAACCACTCATAAAACATTATATATGGCTGTTCTTTTAATTCTACATAATTTGTATCTCTCCAAAAGAACATGAAACCCTAAAACCGGCACTTTTAAAATTCAGTGTCAAAGAGGAGCTATAAACTATAACTATAAAGTTCAACTATAAAGTACTGCTGAGTCATGGATTGATCCAAGCATTTTTAGTAAAACTTGGACAGTGAATCGTAATCAGTCTGTCAATAATATACTGTACAACAGTTTTGTGAGAAAATTCAAACTATTGAGACTTAAAGACAAAATCGCTTATTTATTCTAAAATCCCTTTAAAACAAAACGATCCCAAAAACTATTCTAATGCCATAAACTATATCAAACTCCATGTATTTTTCCAAAATCACTGGCTATCTCACACAATTTCTCAATTCAGTGCATCAGGGCGTGTGTGAATCAAAAGCTTCAGTACAAAAAAGACCACAGATTCTCAATTTCTCCAGAATTGTGTAGCTCTACTTCATACTTCAAGAACCTCGTGTCTGACTGACTGGGATAAATAGGGAATTTCTCCCAACACCCAATATCCTTTCAGTCTGGTCATGTCCGCTCTGGAAAAAGCAGGAAGAGAGCAGTAAACATGCCTCGAAAGTATTCAGAGGAGGAAGAACTGATAGACACGTAACTACCACCATCCATCAAGAAGTCACTTTTCATTCACTTCACATCAATTATCCTGCCAGAGCACGGGTTAAACATTTGAACCATCACATCCAGATTTACAACACACGAGGAAATGAATAGTGTAGTCCATCAAAGTGTGCATGTTAAGTAAAAGTTGCTGCATGTTGCTCACAATATATATGCATTTTATACAATACCGGTCAAAAGTCTTCTATGCTCCTAAAGCCTGCATTTATTTGATCAAAAATACAGAAATACTGTGAAATATTATTACAATTTAAAGATAATAGTTGTTTATTTTAATAGACTTTAAAATTAGGGCTGTCAAACGATTAATCACGATTATTCACATCCAAAATAAAAGTTTGTGTTTACATAATATATGTGGGTGCACTGTTTTATTATAATATAAATTATTTTATACATTTAAATACACACACATGCTTGTATATATTTAAGAAATATTTTCATGTATATACTGTATATAGATTTATATATCATCTATATTGGTAACACTTTACAATAAGGTTCATTAGTTAACATTAGTAAATGCATTAACTAACATGAACTAATGATGAGCAATGCATTAGTTACAGTGTTTATTAATCTTTGTTAATGTTAGTACAAATACAGCTGTTCATTTTGTGTTCATGTTAGTTCACAGTCCATTAACAAATGTTAACTAATACAACCTTTGATTTTAATAACGTATTAGTAAATGTTGGAATTAATATTAACTAAGATTAATAAATGCTGAAGAAGTATTGTTCACATATTGTACATGTTAACTAATGTAGTTAACTAATGTTAACTAATGAACCTTATTGTAAAGTGTTACCTCTATATTATATATAAATATAAATCTTTATATATAAATCATATGTTTTTCCTAAATATACATGCATGTGTGTGTATTTATTTATATATATATATATATATATATATATATATATATATATACATACAAAAGAATTATAGACAGTGAACCCACATATAGTACATAAACACAAACTTTTATTTTGCATGCGATTAATCGCGATTAATCGTTTGACAGCCCTATTTAAAATATCGTTTATTTCTGCGATGCAAAGCTGAATTTTCAGCATCATTACTCCAGTATTCAGTGTCACATCATCCTTCAGAAATCATTCTAATATGCTGATTTGATACTCAGTTATTATCAATGGTGGTGGTTTCAAAGTTAAAGTTTTTACTGAAAGTTATTCGATATCGTTTCCCTCTGCAGTTATCGTTACTCTGTGGTATGAAATCTGCTATTGTTTTCAGAGCAAAATCTTTATCACTATCGTTCTTAAAATTCATAAACTGTAGCCAAAAACTATAGCATAGGATGAATTATGAGTCACGTAGGCAATATAATAAACATTTAATCAACAAGAAACTGCGAAATTGTACCAAATGGACCAGTCAAAAAGTCAATGTTGACTTGAACTTGAAAACACGAAATATTTGATAGTCACCGTCCGTGACCCCAATACATCTCCCAATTCAAACATGAGGCAATGACGTTTCTCTGTACACACTGGAGAAAAAAAAAACCTGTAGTGACCCCTAGTGGCCAGAGACTGTACTCACAGCAGTTGCCAGGAGGTTGCAGACTGTGGTTGGTCAGTTGACACCAGCCCACAGGGAAGATGTCCCTGGAGTCATACAGGCACCAGTAATCGAACGCTCCTCTCCAGCCATCAAACATGATGAATATCTTGTCACCTCTCACCTCTCCGATGGTAGCGGGACAGATGAGATAGGGATTTTTTCGGTCCACTGCCTCCAGTTTCTGACCAGGTTTGAAGTAGTTTTGAGTGGGTTTGGACGGCTCCTGAGGCATTCATAGGAAACACATCATCCATAAGCAAAATTTAATTTCAAATTACAGTACAATTTAACAAAAGCAATGTTTATGCACAGCTCTAAATACAAAGTAGTTGAAAGATTTGTTACATTATTTATTCCAAACACTTTCCGTTTCATTCACAGCTTCATAGGAAGTTTGCAATTTGAAGCAATTACCTTTTTAAAGGCTGAGGCTGGAGCAATGTCCGCCCCATTTAATGTTTTTAATAGGAACATGGGCCATGAAGAAGCGTTCATTCTGAATCCTGAAGATGGGTACAGGAAAAAAGTTAAAAAGGAGTACATTGAAAGAAGAAAAAATGACTGCATTCATATCAACACAGCACAGTTTTGTTCTTAAACATGACAAAGGACCATCATATGGGATGTTTGTTTTCCACAAAACACTTTAAATCAACAGCGGTAACACTTTAGTTGAGGGTCCAATTCTCACTATTAACTAGTTGCTTATTAACATGCATATTACTAGGATATTGCTTGTTTATTAATACTTATAAAGCACATATTTATGACTTATTCTGAATGACCATATTCTACATCCCTTAATCCCTAAATTTAACAACCTTACTAACTATTAATAAGCAGTAATTAGGAGTTTATTGAAGCAAAAGTGGTAGTTATTCAGACCTAAACTAAACTAAATACTGAACCTTTACTAATATTCTGAACACTAATATTCTAATATCGTGTTATATCCCAGAATGCATCAGTGCAGAATTTACCCAGTGGTGGCTGCAACATGTCGCCGCTCCTCTCGCATGTGCCGATAGGCTGAATGTCAGAGGAGTCAACCAATCGCCAGAAGTCATTGGTGTTGTCACTGCCATCCAGTCTGAGCCGCAGACGCACGCCCATTGACCCCATCACCGTGGCGATGCACACGGAGGTGGAATTCCTCGGGTCACAAGCCTCCACTTTCATTCCCACTTTAAAATCATTACTGGGAGGGATTCTGGACTGGAGAGAGAAAGAAAACATTACCATGAAATGTTAATGAAATTCTGTGAATTATAGATGAATAATGGCAAATAGGGATCCGTTAGTGTCACGTGATCCTTCGGAAATCATTCTACTATGCTGATTTGGCATTTGAGTGTGTGTGTGAGTGTGTATATATATATATATATATAAAACACACACATATAGGGGTCAATCAGTGTCACATGATCTTAAACATTAAAACATTAAACATTTCTTATTACTATCAGTGTTAAAAACAGTAGTGCTTAATAGAAATTTCCAGTAATGTATTGTAAGTCACTTTTAAAAGATGTAATATATTTATCATTAAAAAAACAACACATTCACTTCATTTTTTTAATTCCGCTTCTTTAAATTCAAATTAAATTCAAATTCTTCATTCATTACTCATTAATCTTGTAAGGAGTTACATAATAACAAATATATCAGTAATAACAAATTAAGCAGCAACCATCTATGGAAGACCCTTTCTTTAATCATTAACAGACTTACTTGTCTGAAACAGCTGGGGGAAGCAGGACAGGCTGAAGTCTCTCTCAAGTACATTTCCCAGCTGAACGGCTCTGATGAATGAGCAGGGGAGAGAAATGTACATCAGGAAGTTTGAGGTTAACTAAACAGTACATGTTTTTTTTTTTTTACATCTTAATAAAGAAAGAGAAGGCTCTACCAGTGAGCTTTTGTGAAGGGAGTGAATCCTCATCACTCCTCCCCGATTTCTCCTTATTACTGTATTTTCTGTCTGCAATTAAAAAGACATAGTCGGTCACAAAACTATAACAAATAAGTTACTTTGTTATGAAAAGGGACTAACAAAGAATGTTTAATTTAAATGTCAAGATGGGATGAAGTAGCAGTTTTGACCTTTGTGATGGGTTTTGCCCATGGTGACCTGGAGAACCACATGAAGCGGACAGAAACTGGACAGATCCTAGATTTGGGATCTGAAAGAAATCTGAAAAACTGAAAGAAGGAAGGAAGGAAGGAAGGGAAGGAGTAAGGAAGGAAGGAAGGAGTAAGAAAGGAAGGAAGGAGGGAAGGAGTAAAGAAGGAAGGAAGGAAGGAAGGAAGGAAGGAGTAAGAAAGGAAGGAGTAAAGAAGGAAGGAAGGAAGGAGAAAGAAAGGAAGGAGGGAAGGAGTAAGGAAGGAAGTAAGGAAGGCGGAAGGAAGGAAGGAAGGGAAGGAGGAAGGAAGGAAGGAAGGAAGAAGTAAGAAAGGAAGGAGGGAAGGAGTAAAGCAGGAAGGAAGGGAAGGAGGAAGGAAGGAAGGAGAAAGCAAGGAAGGAGGGAAGGAGTAAAGAAGGAAGGAAAAGGAATGAAGGAGTAAGGAAAGAGGGAAGGAGTAAGGAAGGAAGGTGGAAGGAAGGAGTAAGAAAGGAAGGAGGGAAGGAGTAAGGAAGGAAGTAAGTAAAGAAGGAGTAATGAAGGAAGGAAGGAGTAAGAAAGGAATGAGGGAAGGAGTAAAGAAGGAAGGAAGGAGAAAGGAAGGAAGGAGTAAGGAACGAGGGAAGGAGAAAGAAAGGAAGGAAGGAGTAAGGAACGAGGGAAGGAGAAAGAAAGGAAGGAGTAAGGAAGGTGGAAGGAAGGAGGAAGAAAGGAAGGAAGGAAGGAAGGAAGGAAGGAAGGAAGGAAGGAAGGAAGGAAGGAAGGAAGGAAGGAAGGAAGGAAGGAAGGAAGGAAGGAAGGAAGGAAGGAAGGAAGGAAGGAAGGAAGGAAGGAAGGAAGGAAGGAAGGAAGAATTTATTAAATATTATTAATAGCAACACTGATGGTCATTCCGTGTCAACTCAACCAGAGAGACCCAGCTCAATATTTTTTTCTGAAGAAGGACAAATATAAATAGTAAAGAAAGCCAAAATATGAAACACCATGGATGAATATTTAGAGATATGATGTTACTTTTTTATCACTCATCTGTGGAGAGCATGCTACTTTTCTGTTGCGTTGCATGGTATTTCTCTTTGTCAGTGACCAACAAAAATAGATTGAGCAAGATAGTTAACCTGGCCAGTAAGGTTGCGGGGCATAGACAAACAGTATGGCTATTACCTGTGAAAGAAGAGTGTTGAAGAAAGGTATAGCTATTAATAAAGATACGTCACATCCCTTACACCGGGCATACGAGCTGTTGCCATCAGGGAGAAGGTTTAGGTTACCTTATTTCCAGACAAATCGAGCCAGTAAATCATTTATTCCAACTAGCATCACTTTGATGAACAAGAAGTTACCTGTAGGACTGCACTTTACATAGCACTATTTAGCACTTTAAATAGCACTAATAGCACTTTAATTAGGTTTCTTTGAGTCTTCTGTCCTGATATGTGTAGGGGTGTGGTGGAGATGAGGGAGGGGGGTGGTTGGGGTGAGGGAATGTTGTATTCTGTCATGTAAAATTGTCTTTGTATATATGTATCAGGCGTACTGTAGGTGCAGAACAATTTTCCGCGAGGATAAATAAATAAATAAACAATTTATTGAGTAATCGGCTATTTTGAAGAGTGGGGTCAAAATGACAATTTTCACCTAAAATTTAAAGCCAAATTACAAGGGGAAGACAATGACTTGAAAGATGGGAGCATCATTATTTTATTTTTACAGAGAGATTGGTAGGTCTATTATAATTTCTGTTCTTTCTTTCTTGCTCTTCTTTATTTACATTAAGTAATTTTCAACCATTTAAATAAGTTCAACAATTCGTACATGGAGCCTCACTGGGATCCCCATATCTGGAAGAAACCATATAGTAAAATCAGTAAGATTTTCTTTGAGAAAGAAATTAACACTTTTATTATTATTACTTTTAGAATGCATAAATTCAATAAAAAAAATACATGTAAGGACATTTAAAAACATTATAATGATTGATTGCTAAAAATATTTTTTTTTCAAATAAATGCTGTTCTTTTCCACAAAAAAGCAGCAAATCAGACTGGAGTAATGATGCTGAAAATTCAGCTTTGGAATTCACTAAAATAAATTACATTTTAAAAATGATTTTCAATTGTAATAATTGCAAAATATTATGGTTTTATTCTATTTTGATCAAATAAATGCAGCACTGGTGAGCAAGACTTCTTGAAGAATCTCACCTTATATTCAAATCAGTTTTAGTGAGATCATGTTATCTATAAATAATAGTCTTCTCTTTTATCAGCTGGTTCAGTTTTGGCCCAGAGTTCATGAACTCTTCCCGGAAACCATATTACAGCATTACGGAAGACAGGGATTATACTTTATACTCCCTACTGGCATCTGAGTGCAATTTATTCCACCAACATTGTACTGTGCAAAAAAAAAAAAGGATTATCACTAAATCACAAATACCTTTAGAGAATCAAAGCACTGGACTAAGAAAAGCTTTTCTTCTATTTGACATCATAATAAGTTACTGAGCTTCTGAGGGACCCGGCGCTCGCTGATCAAAGCCTCGGCTCTCTCGGCAAGTGATAAGTCACATCTCAGTTTGGGGGAAATTGGCTGCAGCTGACGTCCCGTGCAAACTGACAGCGGGATGAAGGACTTCCCTTTTATTCCAAGTGATTCGTAATGAGACATTCAACATAGCTATATATAAATAAAAAACTAAATATTTTCCATTTTAATCCCTTTTGAAAAAAAAAAAAATTATTCAGGTCCGTGGAACCAAAAAGATATGGAAAGCGAGCAAGGTGTCTGGCAGCACACTGGATTCAGTACAGACTACAGAAGTCTATTCAAAAACAAATGAACAAACAGGAGCAAATGTTTCAGCACATTGCTATCTTCAATGCTCACTCTGCAACAAACAGTCACCCTTTTGTTGGTAAGTTAGCAATTAGGGGTAACAAGTCAATAGCATTTACAAAATACTACTTTTTTGCAAAAGTGAAATGCAAAAAAGTTTTTACGTTTCAGGTTGTCTTACAGTATATACACAAATATGAATTTAGAAGCACCAGGTGGTTATTAAGGTCCGACTAAACAGTGTTGGGTAAGTTACTCTAAAAAAGTCATCAATTACTAGCTACTAATTACATATTTAACAGTGTAATTAGATACTTATTACTAATACTTTCTAAATCCCGTATCAACATCAGCCAGTGGAACAATAGAACAACATAGACATTAAAACGGACTAATGTATTTCAGTTTTGATGTTAAATGCACTATATAGAACATTGCATAGTATTATCATGCAACTCAGAGGTAACTGTAATTAAATTTCAGAAAAAAATATGAGTAATTGCACTGCATTGGAATTTTAAATCAGGACCTTTGAAATAAAATAAAGAAATGTTATGTGGGCATATTGGAACTAAAAAGTATATTTTAAAGAGACATGCAATAAAAACATGTATTTCTGCCTTGTTTCTTACTTTCTTATCCAGCCAAATGGTTGAGCAAAAACCTCCAGATGATGCTGAAACCAAAAAAAAGTCCCAAGGAGAATCCAGGAAACAAGTCTGAGTTGTGGGGAAAGAAAGATACTATCCTTTAAAAGTCACACCAATGTTACTGAAACCACCAGCCACTTCTGTCTGGATAGCAGAATCCCCCTCCCATCCTCCTCACTCTTCTGTCTTAAGCTGTGAATCCCATTCAGAGACTCGTCATAAAGATTCCAAACCGCCGTAAAAAGGTCAATAGCGGTGTACATTTGTGGGAGTCTGCAGCAACACATGAAAAGGATTCCAACACCTCCCATTAACAGATGATGTCTACATTTTGTGGTCTCTCTCTCTCTCTGCCTCTCTCTCCCTCTCTCTCTCTTGCTCTGTCTGTCTTTTCAAGGCCCTTGCACCCCCCCAGACAGGAAGCCTTCTCTTTAGACATGGCTGCTTTAAAGCAATATGGATATTTTGATTTCACGGATGAGTGAGATTAAGAAAATTTCAAGATTAATGTTTTTATGTAATCATTTTCATGTTGTTTTCTATTGTTTTCATGCCAGAATTAATTTCCAAGCATGCCACACATATGAATTATGCATTGAAAATAACCTTTATTTTAATTAAATATTAGCATTAAGTGTGCTGGGGAAAAAAATCATCATCTGTAAATTATTTTGATAACTTTTACTGAGACAAAAACCCTGAGTGTCACATTAACAACGAATTCCCCTTCTGTCATGGGTAGAACAGATGCCAGTGTCATAAACATGCAGATTGTTAAATGATATTATTGTTAATGCTTTTTTAAAGCAAATCTATGCATGTAATACATAACACGTATACATGGCGTACTTTTTGATGGAGTGTAAATAGCCTTAACACCAGTGTGCCAATTAGAGAGAGGCAGCGAGCTGTTTTAGGTCAGGGAATAACAGACGCAAGAAGAAAACACAGCGCGCGCGCACATAACATCATTCCCTATGTAAACATGCATTCAGCTTCCGCATCAGTGACCATGAGATACTAAACCAGCGAATAGATGCACAATAGACTGCAGCATAATTAATTCAATATAGTAGATATGAAAAATATGCCACTGCTGTTCGCTCACCGTGTAAGGTCGGACAGTGCTGCTTTTCTGCTTTACTTTCCATTGGAACTAGTCCGCCATGTTTCGCGCATCCGCGCATGTCCAGCAGCATCTGCGCTTGATATTTCAATGGAACATCGAAGACCTAGATCATCTTGTGTGAATCTGAATTTCAAACTCACAATATTCCTTTCAAATCCACTTTTACACGCTGAATCCGGTTTGAACTGTTACAGTTTATCAAATAAACATAATTTAACTTTAAAAAATGTATGAGGTAGTCTATTTGATGTTAATTAAATAGGCATTCATTATCTGGTCTAATAATACAGCAAATGTGCATATTTGATCATTAAATAATAATTTAAATAATTCAAATCTATAGCCTTTGTCTAGCCTATATTTATAACTTTAAAAAAATGTTTTACTCCTGTTTGACATGGGGTCACTTAAATACGCAATAAGAGCATGACTGCTGTAGCCTAAATAAGAATAAAACTTTTTTATTATTATTTGTAGGCTATTGCATCTGATACTTTTCAGATAGTAATAATCGCTAGATGGCACCATGCGCTTAGCCAGACTCCACGCAGTCAGCCTGCCTCTCTCGAGTTTTCCCATATTACATTATTCTTGCTCATTTTTGCTGGAAAACCCAGCATTTTTTCATGTGATGTTTATTAAGAGTGGCATATTATGCCATTCTGCTATAATTCTCTGAATAATAATAATAAATAAACAATGCAAATAAATGTGTACATGTCTATGAATGTGTAGCTACAAAACTGACCAATCGCAATTTTACAATATATAATTACATAGATCAGAGATGCGTCAAGAAAAACCCTAGATAGATAGATAGATAGATAGATAGATAGATACGGCCATGATCTATAGGCCTTTTTTTTCTTCTTAGCAGAATAAACAGTGTGAGTTGTCTGCAGAATTGATCTTTCAGCTCAGCCCCCCCCCCCCCCCCCCCCCACACACACACACACACAAGCACAGTCTCACCAAACGAGCACATCAATTTGGATGTATGCATGTATGAAATGTAACACATCCGAGTAGGAATGCATATTATCATTTCTCAACCAAACCCAGCCAAAGACGATCTTTCGCTTCTGGACCATTCTGAGCTTTCCTCCATTGTGATTGGTCACAGAGAGGTTCGGTTCGGACACTATTGGTGTGAGCAGTCCGCCACTCACTCGGATTGGTGCCGCTTCGCCTGTTCGCCAATTTGTGTACACCCTACTACAGCGAAGGCCTGGCTCATGAATATTAACTAGCCTACGTGACTGGACGATTCTGTAAGGTTACCAGGCAACGTCAGCGTAACGTGCTTAATATTCATGAACCGCCCCTTCGCCATACTGCGATCCGTAAGTTCGCCTTGTTAGGTTGTCAATGGCTCAGAATGAAGGTGGATACTGTTGCAGCTGTGATGATGGGTTACCACTGCAGGTGAAAATGAAAACATCGTTACTTGGCGAGGCGAGAGGACAGTTTGCGCGACGTTGTCTTGGACATAAGTGAGTATTCTGGTTGGTGCTCTTTCCATAAATTACGAATATTGTCAATGCGCTTGGTTTTTACGCTGGATGTTTGATGTTTGTGGCTGTTACATCGTTGGTGTTTCTGATGTGAACGCACAAACACGTACACCTCCTGCCCACACACTCCAGGAGACCGAAGTCACCTGTTATCAATTATGCGTTTAAGACCATATTTGTTATCTACATAGTCTTTATATTGGCTGGGCACTTTGTTTTAAATCGTTGTGATTTTTTTTTTTGCCCCACCATATTTTTACTGTCCATTTAAGAGTGGGTGTAAGTGCTGTGGGCTGTCAGTCATTTCTTGATACTCTCAGGTGGATAAGATGCTTAAAATAATGAAAGAACTTTCATCCACCTACGAATATTTCCAGCGCGCGCACACACTTACGCACGCGCATACCGCACAACACATCAGATGCAAACATGAGCCGCTTTTATGCACAATGCACAAGCATACAACTAGCTGTTGGTGTCACGACATGACCTTCGAAACGCATATGGATAATGCATTTAAGTGCAAAAGAAACGGGTACTGTACACAAATAAAAGGCAGATGCTACCTGTCGCACATCTGAGGTGATTGAGATGATGTCTATCTGTGTTTTCAGCACATTACATCACTGACTTCTGGTTTGGCAGAAGATTCTCAGGCTGTCCTTGTTCACCCACCTGTAAATCTCTTTAAGAGCTGTGTTTTGCTATTCCCCAAACTATTGGAAAATTCACGATAATCCGTTTCGAAGATCAGTGGCCCTTGTTTATGACAAACCGAATCATGACAATCCTAAAACTATCCATTCTCAGTAAAATAAGACCGAATATAAACAGTGATCAATGTCATTTCATGCATATGCATTAAATGTAAAAATAAGACATCCCACTGTTGATGCATATTGATATTGTATAGATACAGTATGCATGAATAACTCTATTTGACCTCTTCTCTGCCAAATCTCTGCACTCTTCCTCCTCAGGTGAGCAAGTGTGTGCGTGTAGTGTATTAGTTCGCAGGAATGTGTGTCAGCGTATGTGTGTGGATTATGAGAAGAGCATTGTGACCAACCGGGAGCAGATTTTTGCTGCAATGACCCGTTCAAGCACCGATATCTGTCCCATCCTCTGGCCTTCCGCTCCTCTCAGCCCAGACATGCACCACCTCGCCATCTTTTGACTTGATGAAGATTCCTGACATCGGTAATGTGATGAATAAATTTGAGGTCCTTGGGATTGTAGGAGAGGGTGAGTGCATCTTTTGTTAATATCAGTAATTAAAAAGAGTAATAGCATTGCTTATAAAACAGCTGCTTGTTCATAAGCCGCAAACTGAGCATATAAAGCTTTTCCTTTTTTTTCTCCCCTCCAAAGGAGCCTATGGGGTGGTCCTGAAATGCAGACACAAGGTAAGACATATTTATGCAGAAAGCTGTTGGTCAGCATGCTAAGTAGAACTGAAGAAAGTCTTATGTAAATATGTTGTGCAGCTTAGCTTAGATTTTCAAATCTGTTTTGAAATGTAATATACAGTTCATATCTACCTGGATTAAGATCACTTACCTATATTTTTTACACAAAACAAAAAAAAATCCTTTCTGGGAATGTCATTTGTAGAGGTGAGGCTAGTTTCTCATTTTCCCCCTAAGAAAAACTACCTAACTCAGTTAACCTTTATGGGCCTCGTGACTGTAACTTTCCCAGAAGAGTTGCACGACGTTTAAACACCTTAAACGGTACATTTGTTGAGATATTTCCTTTATAAATATATTTTCAATTGTAATATGGCATGGTTCCCTAGCAACTGGTTCTTTTAAAATTGTGGGCTTCTCCAAATGCATTGCTTGTGGCCTAGTTGGCAGATTCGCTTCATTGTTTGGGAGGCATTTTCAGACAGCCGAACATCGCTAGACTAACTCACAATAATGTAAATATAGGTGTATTTTCAACCAATAGGAGCTGCTTTTGTTGAAATTGCTGCTGTGCTGTTGGGAGGTTCAGGGCATTTGTTTGTATCGTCCATTATGCAGTGATTTCTGTGTGTTTTAAAGCATTATAGCTTCAATAAATGCTCATCCAAAGGATTTAGCCTATGACACTGCTATTGATGTTTGTTCAATATACAAAATAGCTTGCTTCTGAACTGAATCGATGACGCGGAGTTTAAGCACATGTGCCAGATTTAGTTCGAAAGCATTTTTTTTTTTATCAGATTCAAGCCTCGTTCACACCCAGGACGATAACTATAATGATACTGATAAAGATATAGTTCAAAAATCATTATAAAAATAAAAGAATAGCAGACAACAACACGAATGATAAAGGCACAAAAAACAATATCATTAGAATCACTTTCAGAACGATTTGTTTCCAGCTGATGAACGAGAAAAACATTGACAGCCAATCAGAATCCATCCTGATCTCGAGCATTTAAAGCGACAGATGCCAAAACTCCAGCGCATGCTTATAATAAACAGAACGCTATCGTCTGGCAGCGTGAATGCAAATATAGTTACCGTTATTGGTGTGAACGGGCCTTTAGATACACAATCATATAAATCAAATTTTGTTGTTATCAAAACTACCTGTCTTTTCAGGTTGTTTTCACAGTCCCTTTCTGTGTATCTTTAATGCTGTTGGTATTTGATTCATGGTTGCATGCCCAGGATGTGTCTTCACGCCTGGGTAGACAACAGCAGTGTGGCTGGTTGCCTGGCTAGATGATGAATGACAGTACAGTGCAACAGAATGGTTAGGGCTCATTACATTTTAGATTTCACTGACCCTCGACACACACACACCTCGGAGTTAACACTGATACCATGCACAGTATTCATGATCTTATCTGTACTGATGTAGTTACACGCATCTTTCTGGAAACAGTTTAAAGGGTCAAAATGAAAGTCAAAAGTTTGTGTTGTTTTTAAAGTTTGCATATGGAACTATCATTTAATCATGTAAAGTATATTTATTGATTTTGACAGAAGTTGTGTTAAATAATCAGTGTGGATTAGAATAGCTGAGAATTGATGACAGAAAGAAATAAGCCAATCATATTTCCATGCATAATTACATTGTTCCACTCCAAGTTCCTATGCATCATTGTTATGAATGATAATGAGAGCGATAAATTTCAGCAGCAAGTATAGTCCTCCTCAGCTTGTGATCAAGACTTGTGCTTTTAGTAATTGGTCAGTCAGCACTTTCCCTCTTTTATTATATATATATTCAAAATTGCAGCTGAAATCAAGAGTGACTGTTTCTTTTTTGTTGCATTCTATCTCGTTTCTCTTTCACGTATCATTATTGTCCGAGTCCGACGCAAATATGCCTGCGATCTATTTACAGACATTCAGATTCAGAATAGCACTGATCACCAGGAAAAACTGTGCTAAACTTGGATTTCGTTACATACCTGATTGAAAATATTATGTTTGAGTCTTTTAAAAATAAGGCAATAAGGCAGATAATTATTATTAGTCTTATTAGGAGACTAGATTAAATATGTTGGTGACATTTGATATTGTTAGGAGATTTTGTTATGGAATATAATAAAATAAAATGGGAACAGAATAGAAAAAGGTTATATTTGTTGTAATGCTTGTGCCGTTCCAGAGTTGTCACTATGTATGTTGCTTCTAAATATACTTTTAAGTCTGCTTTGGTTTCTATTGCAATCATTTTCATGTAGACTATTATTCAAAAATTTGGGGACAGTGAGATTTTATTTATTTTTTTTACCCCAAAAAGGATTTCTATTTTAAAATAAATGCAGTTCTTTCTATTCATCAAATAATCCTGAAAATAATTATCATAATATGCACAAAAATGTTAAGCAACACTACTGTTTTCAATACTGATAATAATAAGAAATTATTCTTAAGCAGCAAATCAGCATATTAGAATGATTTCTAAAGGATCATGTAGCGCTGAAGGCTCGAGTAATGATGCTGAAAAATCATCTTTACCATCACATGAATAAATTACATTTCAATTCAAAATAGATTCAAATAGAAAATCATTTAAATTAATATTTTACAATATGACTGTATTTTTGATCGAATTAATTGAATGAACCCCAAACTTGTCTAAAAAACGAAGTTACTCAATAATATATGCTTGTTTATAAAACTGTTGTATAAAAGCAATCAACATCAAATTTGCCATTTTCTGCTGTTGTACAGAACCATGTTTAGCACGTTTGCATATTAATAGAATAGAATAGAATAGAATAGAATAGAATAGAATAGAATGGGGATTTTCTTCCTGCACTCTTTTCCGTAGAAACGTACTGGGCAGTATAGAAACAGGCACCATTTATGTAAATATTGGTAATGCAATATTGATGAAGCCCATGCCATTCCCATATTTGACTATAAGCGGCTAAGTGTGCATCCCAAATCCCCACATCCTCAAATAAACAATCCATTTGTGCATTCATAAATCCACTTAGATCAGTGGTGGTTGCACGTATTGTTTGATAATTTAATAGGCAGAAATGAAATCTGTGTCTGCATGGGGAAAACTTGAATCTTCTATAAGAAGGTGGATATTTTGAGTTTGTCTTAAGTGACTGTTAATAGAGGAACTGGAGAGATGAGTTGTTATTAACTACAGTTATAGTCATAGTGGTTTTTACAAAGCAGAACACTCTCCGATTAGCATAGCAGTGATGTAAAACGTACATAAAACAACATCTTAGGTATAATATTTTATGTTTGCAATCATTCATATGTGTAAAACAAAGCATATTCAATGCGTCTTAGTATGAAGTACTCTGAGATGTAAACTGCACCAGCAAACTTTTGATAAACTCACCGCTTCACTCCTCAGTGAGAACGCTCTTGTTTCTGACAATTGGCACTGGCTTCTCTATTGTTTCTTTCTAATGTACCCAAGTGATGTTATCCCAGCGAGTAGGGGCCATGAAAGACCCTTTGTGCGTGACCCAACACAACAAGAACTGCTGTTTGTACTTGTCTTTGGTTGAAATATTCTTGTGTACCTTTCATTTAGTAGTTTATGCATTGAAATCTACAAAAAGAAGTTAAAGGGGTCTTATAATGCTATTTTAAAAGTTCATTATTTCGTTTATTGGGTGTATTATTATAATAGGTTAACATGATGTTTAAATGTTCAAAAGACATTATTGTTCATTTACTGTACATTTTATTGCAGTGCCTCTATTCCCAGTCTGTCTGAAACGCAATGATCTCTACAAAGTCCCTCCTTTTGAAAAGCCCATCCTTGTGCTCTGATTGGCTAGCTGCCCTAGTGAGTTGTATGGTTGTGATTAGCCAAAAACCTCAAGTGTGTGTTGGAAATGAAACACCCTTTACCATAATTGTGAGCTTCAGCTTCCAAGGCTTCTAAAGCAACTGCAAACACACAGTTAATAATGTCATCAGTATCACAAGCCTGAAATGTGGATGATCAAGCAGCACAAACTTTGCAAGCGTGACTTTAGCAGAATGTTTCACAGTGGGTTTTTCTTCTTCACTGTCTGTAACAACTTAGCGACAGTTTAAAAACATAGAAGTGCATCTTATTTATTTAGGTGTGTATAGCCAGTGTTGTACTCTGAAAATTGGAAGAAAATGCACAGTACACAAGCTAGCCTAGCCTAGTTAGCCTTAGTGTTATTTATCAGTGGAGACAGTTTTCAAACATTTTCATCCAGTCGTTCCAATAATGTTAGAAATCAAACTACCCTTTCATTGCATTGCAATATATATGTGTGTATATATATATATATATATATATATATATATAATACTTCATTCCCTGTATTTATTAGTACAGTCTACAGCAGAGGCGGAGTGATATGTTGTTACTTAGGCAACCGAGAGAGGTAGTCCCGACTGTAATGCACTTCGGTTCTGTGTTTATTTTTCGGTGCAGTACTACTAACCGGATCAAAGTAAAATTCTGCCGCTGCTGAGAAACTAGTTGTTTAAATGTATTGCGATCATTGAGATGCAAGAGTAGTTTGATTTTTAACATTATTCTATTTACAGAAATTTACATCGGAAGAATTTTTCAATTTGTATTTTGTATTGTTTCTCCTTTATGTTTGTTTTTTGAAGAAAAAAAACAATAAATACAATGTTAAAAAAAAAAATAGGTCACTGTGTCACAAGCGATAACAGATAATTTACCTCCGATTTTGAAAGCAGCGTTCAAAATGAATTCTATGCAAACGTAAACTGTACTTCATAACAAAATTAGTCAATGAGTATATTTTGTTAATGTTTTGATTTTTAATAATGTTATTTCTTGTTTTGATTATGTCCTTACCCATTTCCAATGCGAGTGTGGTCCAGAAGTGCCCTTTCACAGAGAGACTCCGCCCACACGCTGTTCTGAATGGCTGTGATTTTTGATTGACGTGTGGCATCTCGCAGTCGCG